AAAATCAACTTCACACGATAATTTCAATAGCAACCACGTGCGTACAATTGACAAACTCACATAGGTTATGTTTACTACTTAAGAACAGCTGATGAGAGGGGTGTTATGTAAACAAACATCTATACCAACTGTTGGTGATGAAATATTTCATTTGTTGAAAACTCAATATACATATATATAATATAATGATACTATATCTTGAAAACAAGAGCTAATACATAATTTTTATGGTCACTTTCGGTTTTAATACGTGGAAATACATTAAAATCATCTAATTTTAACCCCGAAACAAAAACTTTGTTGTGTTGTGAATTATTACAAAAACCTTCATTGTCCAAACAGGTATAAAATTTCCTCGCAGAACAGTTTACACAATAATCAGTGAACAATAATTACGAGGGAGGTCTGAAAAGTTTCCTGCTTCCTCCATGTTAAGGTAGCAACACTTTTAAATAAAAGCTGGTGAATTTCGTTGTTATTCTCTTTAGGGGGCAAATGTCCTATAATCAGTTCATATATACCATACACAAACAGTCGTGCAATTACTGGCTGGTGTAGGACTCAGGGACTCATTTAGCAAACATAAAATTATAACACAAGTCCTCTTGATACTCAGATGTTTATAGTTATGACATCCGACAGCAAAAAACTCATGAGAAGTCAAAAGTTCGTTTTTCAAGACTTCCGTCTTTCTCCAAATATCTAGTTACATTCTTTTCAACTTTGAAATATCTCCATAGGAAAGTATTCCCACTTCCTAGTTCATAGTTATAACACCCGACAAAAAAGTTTCATGTTGAAACTAGTCAAAACACAAAATAAAGTGAATAAAAAAACGTTATGTTAATCGATTTTATCGAAAAAAAAAGTTATAAATGATGTAGTTAATGTAGTAAAAACAAAAAAAATACTCGGAAGGTAGCAGTTATCACACCACTCTCCTCAGCAAACTGCGGTATTGGTCAGATAAAAAAAAATCATTGAGCGTATCGTAATCTGAAAAATTTGAGAATACTAAGCCTAAAGATTTTATTTAATTTTTTTCTAATTTTGTTACTTAATTTTTCTCATTCTGTGCTTCAGTATTGCAAGGTAATATGTAATCCGTTATCTGGAGCCATCTTGAATTTGCATCTTTTTGAAGTATACTACTATTTTACTAGTCAAGCCTCCTCATTCGATACCCATATTGAGTTAGTTGTGAAAAAATATATAATCCGCCATTATGCAACTACTGCCATTTTGGATTTGCATCTTTTCCAAAGTGTACTACTATTCTACTAGTCGAGCCCTGTCATCAGATATGCATATTGAGGTAGTTGTAAAACAATGAAAACTATTTGAATGGAAGGGGTTATATTTTTAGGAGTGATTAATTTTTTGGGAAAGAAAGTTTTTGGCTTTCTACTACTCCATCTGATACAAAAAAGGGGATGAGAGAATCTTCCAAAGAAAGGAAGGAAGTAATCAATTTGAAACTCTATACATGAATACATGAATGTATTCATGTATTCTTTCCCAAAAAATGAAAACTAAATGTGTCTACCAAATATCAGATCAATCTGACAACAGGACGGAGGGTCAAACTTCAATTATCTACTAAATTTGACCTCAACTAACAAACATGGCAAGCTAAATAAAACAGTTTAAAATTTCCTCCTGAGCATATCCTTCAATGTGGTTGTCTTCAAAGAAAATGTTCTTCCAAAATCACACGTGTTTGTTTTGATGAAAATTTGGCACAATCTGGAGTTTCAAATTCTGAACAGATTAAATTATTACTACTATTATTACACTATGTCAGTTGATTCAGTCCTTTATTGAATATGGATTAATTTAGATGTTCCATACATGTTTTATTCTCTGTAGCTAGTTTTCGATAGTTTTCGAATCAAATAGGTAAAAATTGTTTTTTTCTGTTCATTTATTTCAACAGTAAATCAGTTTTAGTATTTTTGGAATGTGTATTCTATACGTATTCAAAGAAAGTTTTGATGACACTGCCGTTGAAAAATGAAAAACATGAGAATTGAAAAATACCATTTTGGAATTCATTTTAACTTTTTTCCTAACAGAGCTGTAATGAAGTTGAATGGGATATTGCTTTATTAATTATGTTATTTATTAATTACTTTCCATTTCGGGTCACATGTTTTTTCTTTATAGGTTAGTGTTTTAATATTTTCCAATTTCATCACTGTTTATCACCTAACCGTGTTAAAAATCACACGTTTAAAGGTAAGACCTCGTTAGTCCTTAGCTCGCACAAGTTTCTCAACTTCTGAGAGTTGTCGTTCGTATGGGGGCGACAGCTGATTAACGGAAAAACAAATTTTAAAACAGATTTTTTGATATTATTTTCTTGTTATGGAAGTTATCCAAATTTCGGTCCAGATGATTGATGAACAGTAACAGACCATGAAAAGCTTGCCATTTTAATTCAGCAGAAGAATAGTTAAGTGAAAAAGAAAAAATTAACATTCCTATAATTAGATTTCTATAATTAGAAGAAAATGGGAAATCATTTCAAACTTTACCACTTTACCTATATATCTGTTCATGGAAGTTTTTGAATTCTGTATCGATTCCAATTATTTTTGTTACAATGGATCGTTTTACAAACAAATTTTTGAGTTGGGAATGGGTAAATGTATGTCACCCATTTGTGCAGAGTTGGTCATGACAGAACTACAAAATATATGCATTAAAAAGTGGTCCTTTTCATTGCCTTTTTTTAAAAGATATGTTGACGATATTGTTACTTCCATTCCAAAAAATAAACAAACTGAAATATGAGACACTTTTCATAGTTTTCATCCAACACTGAAATTTACTCTAGAAATGGAAGGAAACAATCCGTTGGCATTTTTAGATACTAAAATAAAGATACAAACCGAATTTTAAAGGTAGAATGATATCATAAACTAACTTTTTCTGAGATATTTTCAAATTATTTTTCGAAACATAATTTTCAGAATGAAATCAAGGAATTTGAAATCAAGAGCAATTGCCATTTCCAATTTTGAATAACATAAAAAAAATCTCCAATTATTTGAGAATTACCTATTGAAAAAGAATATTCCTAGAATCCTTATAATTAATAAAAGAAGTTTCTTCTCCCAAAAACACGGGCGAGACTCAAATATCACAAAATTCAATTTTTTAGAAAATTTGTCTGATAAACTCTATGCTACTCAGTACCGAAAGAATTGAAGTGTCCTTTTCGAATGAAAATACAGTTGGAAAGCATTTTTTTCGAAACAAGAACCAAAAACGCCACAAAAAATACAATCCAATATGGTGTACAAATTGAACTATGATGAGCTGTCACAAATGCTATGTTGGTCAAACCGGACGGTATCTTAAAAAACGAGTTTCAGAACACATGAGAGACTCTAGGAAACTGAATATAAAAAATTCCACAGCTGTCGCTGAACATGAAAATGAGTATAGACACATTTTGATTTTGATCATTCAACTATTGTAGATGTTCAACCATATTTATTTAGACTTTTGGGGGTAATTATATATATCCTCAAATGCGATAGTGTTAACACTGAATACTTTTGGGGAGTAATTTATTTAGGAACTTATTATTTCTTGTGAAATTGAAACGATGATAAATAATCGTAATAGTTTTGTGGAAGGTATGTTTATGAAAATTCGTTTTTACAGAGCCCTGATACAGAATTTATATAAATTCGAAACATCGGCAAAAAAAAATTGTTTTTTCAAGGAAAAATTGATCCTGTTACCCAACCAACCTTCTTTCAGAAAAATTAGTGGATCAATAACTAGTTAAATGAAAAAAATTAAGTTCAGTAATTAACTGTTGAAACAAATATAAAGAGAAAATAATTCTTTATAAAGTGAAGTGGAACCTTCCTGAAATAACCACACCACCGACACTGGCTGGGGACCGACAACTGTTTTCAACCCAGCAAGTCCAGCCACTTGAGCCTTAAAAACACTGCACCCTGCATATTAGTTGTTTAAAATGCATTATAATCTTACTTAATCTGGCAAGCCATGACGTTTTCCTTTTGTGTCCAGGGATTATGTCGCAGCTAACACCTCTTCGAAACTTTCGAGAAATTTGATCCCACCATCAACGGCAATAAGGACCTAACTAGTTACGTTTTTGTGTCTGCAATCGAACACCCAAACTTCGATGACAACATTCTTTCATTCTTTTTATTGTCCCCCGATTTTTTCGTTATTTGGGTTTGACGTGTTTTATCTGGCTGTTTTCTTCATATCTTGAATGGGTTGATTGGTTAGATGTTACTGAATGATGACAGTTATAATAACGGTGGGAGATTGATTTTTTAAAGAGTTCCAAATGGATTATTATAACATGAAAAAAACTCTGGTCATGAGAAATATGAGTTTCAGATATGAAAGTAATACAAATACCAACATGTATTTCATCCAAAATGAGAACTGCTTCATAAATAGTGAAATAGTGTTACTTTGAGAATGATTGAATTACCTGTAGTTTCAGAAAGCAAGAATCTGGACCTTTGGCTTGAATCTGACCTCCGATTTCATAAACGTATCAATTCCCTCTGTGAAAGCTCTTACGCTGTCTTGTAGCAAGTATAACAAAGAAGACAGATAAAGATTGATTTCCACTAATAGGATTCGCTTGCGACTACTTTCGTTTTCAAAAACAGAAACAAAATACTCGTTTTAGTTTCGAAAATGAATTCCACCAAAGAGACAAGAATTAGTCTTAGAAGGGTGTTTTATGGTGAAATGTTTTCTATCGTTTCAGTTACATGAACAGCTTTATTATGTCTTCTCTAGACTATGTTTCTAAAATAGGCTGAAATTTTTTTTCTGAACGAATATTTTGAGCGAAAGGAGGGAAAATGAAAAAGAAAACCAATGTTCTATCATGGTATAGTTCAAGTAAACGATATATATATATAGTGCAACCTACCTTCCTACAGCTCCCCTTTAATAATATAGTTAGGTAGCTAACTAATTTCATTATTTTCTGATTATATAAGAATCACAATAACTATATGTATATACATATATCAAAAGGGAAAATTTGTGGATAAAAAACTCAAAAAATTGAGGCAAACCGCGGACACGTGTTTCTGGCTATTGGCCTCATCAGCGCGGTGCAGCCAATTGCAAAGAAGGACAACAACTGATTTCCAAAATTGAAAAACTTCACATATGCACGGTGTCACCAACAGGATATTTCGACCCGGAAGTCACGCAGGTAGCTATAGCTGCCTACGTGGTGATGTTAGATGATGCCTGGGAATGCTAGGTCTTCTAATTGAAACCACAAATGTGCGGTTAGCACCTGTTGGTGACACCGTGCATATGTGAAGTTTTTCATTTTTGGTAACCAGTTGTTGTCCATCTTTGCAATTGGCTGCACCGCGCTGATGAGGCCAATAGCCAGAAACACGTGTCCGCGGTTTGCCTCCATTTTTTGAGTGTTCTGTCCACAAATTCTCCCCTTTTCGATATTTATATACATTTAAATCAATAATGAATTTATTTTTACCATTGATATGGAAGTGTCCAATCTCCATACAATCTTTTTCAACTACAATCACATTTTCAATCCTTTTCTGCCAATCTCCTGCGGTAATATTAGATACTTCTTCTTTAATTAACTCTATCACCTTCAAATTTTGGAAAATTATTTGTACGCCTGATGCTTTGTTTCAATTTTCTCCAAATCAACTCGATGGGATTGAAAACACAAAAATAGGGAAAAAGTCTCAGTATGGTGTATCCATACTTTTCAGCAATTCTCTCAAGGGCATACACTTTTTCAAATGTTTTTGTCTGTAAAACTTCAAGTAGTTGGTTTTTGGTATAGTAATCTTCAAAATACAAATTGTTATCCATAAAACACTTTGTATTTCATCTTTCCCCGAATTTTTATTCTGCATTTTGATGAGCTGTCGCGAATGATAGGAAACGTTCTCAAAAACTATTACACTATTCACATCCAAATTTGGCATCAATGTGTTTTCAAACCATTCTTCGAAAATATTAGCTTCCATGTTCTTATGACAGTCAACATTGCAGTCCTCAAGTTTTTTCAACATAATTTCAAAGAATTCGGAACCCATCCTTCGCTTCCTCCGCAATGCACAATGATTAGTCGCGATCTTTCGTTTGCAGGCATGTTAGGCGTACACATTCTCGAACAATCAGTCCACCCTTTCGTAACTGTGTTGTGAGTGTCATACAAAGTTTCATCCAAATAGAAAATTTGCCGTTGTTTTTGTCTGTATTTACTTATTGGTTCTAAGTATTTGTTACGCAATCCCACTACTATTCTTCTACTTTACATAAATACTTGACGTTTGTTTATCATTTTAAATCTAAATCCTAGTTTCTTTATCCAATTCTGAAGAGTTTTGTCACATCAGCTCACGTTATGGCCGAAAGTATTACATTTCTTCCTTATGATTTCAGTTGAAAGAATCTCATTGCTTTTGTAACACTCGTATATTGTTTTTTTCAATGATATTACTAGATGAACATCTAAAGGTTTTGGTAATCATGTATCACATCGCGTCTTGCGTTCACAGGTTTCTTTTTGACTATTTCGCGTACAGTTGAGAAAGGAATTTCGTTCAAATCTGATGTTGCTTGTTTCCTTCGAAACCAAACTTAAGATGTAGATTCTTATATACAGTTTGTCAAGAAGAGGAAAAAGGGTAAAATTTTTGCGGCCTGCGCGTAAGGAAGAGCTAGAAAGCAAACGAAGGAACAAAGATGCCGACGAAGAAGTAATGATTGGAACTGAGGCCTATTTTGATGACAGACTTTACTTTGACTGTACTTTAAAAATCCATCGGAAAATTGTATGACCACTGTAATCGTTGTATAGCAGATATACCTACTTTCTTCCCAAATATTTTCATACATATCTGAAAAAGAAATCAGTACAAGTAATATTAAGTAAATACCTGGTTGAAGTGAGGATCAATTTTCCCAGCCCACCAAAATTAACAATCAAATATATCAAACTGCCGCATAGCTGCTGAAAGACACCTAATTGACAAGATACCATATCTCGCAATCAGACTAATGGGCCATCATTAATGTTATCAAGGCGATCATGTTGTGATCTTTATTCGATTGCCACCCTCTGCCTAACCTTAACAAGGCCGAAGGGGTTTAGGGGGAAGGCAGACTTCAAAAACTCCAGATTTAAATCACATCAGAACTAATTGGCATATGGAATGGGGATTCTCCCATTAACTCTTACCAAATTAAATAATGGGGTCTTTTAGCTTACAAAGGATTTTCTTTTTGAAGTTTTTCGGTAGTTGGTTGTTTGTTAGGATGATTAGTCCAAGTGAGTGCTTTCCCGTTGTCGTGAATGTTAGTTCTACTTGAAAGAGTTTTTCTAAAAAGAACGGTATTTGAAAAAAGTGAGGTTATGGGCGTGACACGCCATTTTACTTCTTACCAATATTCATTTCTGATGAGTTGAATTATTTTGTAGTGTCTATTTGGATAAAAGTTCTCAGGAAGTTTATTCCACATAAACGCAGTTCTCCAGATGAAAGAGTTCTTAAACAGTGAAGGACAATTGTTATTTTATGATTTTAAGTCTTGTTATCGTAGCTTTTTTGCTATACTTCAAAAGAATATAAAATAAATTAATATTGTGTTGTTACTACAATAAACTACAATCAATTTAGAACATATTTCGAAACTTTTTAGTGCATTATTAATTGTATTCCGTAGTTTGAATGATATCAATAGTGCTTTCTCAGTAACTGATGAGACACCAAAAAATGAACTCTACTTCATTCATCAGCATCGTTCGTAGTTAAAATTTTGTTTTTGATTCACTACAAATGCGCTTGAGAAATACTCGATTTTATTTCATTCATTTTTGATGTGTTTAATGGTAACTACAAATATCTAATTTCAGCTACAATCAACTTCTTCGTTTGTAGTTTGAGGACAATTGTTATTTTATGATTTGTAGTCTTGTTATAGTAGCTTTTCTGTTATAGTTCAAAAGAATATAAAATATAGTGATATTTGTTACTACAATAAACTACAATCTATTTAGAACCTATTTCAGAACATTTTGGCACATTATTACTCGTCCTTCGTAGTTAAAATAATATCGATAGTGCTTTCTCAGTAACCGATAAGACTACAAAAAATGAACATTACTACATTTATTAGTATCGTTTGTACGTAAAGTAGGCTAAAAAAAGTGGATTTTTTTCAAAGCGGGTTCCAGCGTGACGGAGCTGTGGTCTGCGACTGGTCGAGTTCTTGTGAGAGACGCAAAATTGACTGCCTCGAATTCACATGCAAACTCTCACAAACAAATGCAATGTTTCCGGCAGATCTTGAGTTTTATCGACGTACGGGTGTTGGTCGATTGTTTACTGTACCAGTGAACTCAAATTCATCCGCCATATTGCGAATAGTCCTCTCGGTAGGACGATTATGGCGACCGTGAAATGGGAGAAACGCGCGGTAAGTCACCCGAAAGGAACACCTATTTTGATAAAACAATTCAATTATTTGCACGTGCTGCTGAATGCCATATCCGTCCATGGTCATTATGAAAAATAAATTGAATAAATGACAACTAGTTTGACAGATGTTGGTTCAACAAGATGGCCGGAAATCACTGTTGGAAGACCTATAACCGCGAAATGGACGGCTTAGGATACATTATTTTTATTGTTGCTTCAAATTGTTGCATTCCAGTTCAGAAATAGCTAATTTTGTTTGTATCTGCATCAGTTTATTGAACCTCAATATATGTTCCGCTATGTAGATATCATTTTCTGGGATTTCATCCAGAATGAATCGTTAAGTGGAAACACCAGATAATCTCAATTTCGCGGAACGTTCAACCTAAAACCCTCTTCATCCACTATTTACGAACAAACCTAATTGAGCACAACTCAATCCTGCTGGAATCAAAACAAAACTTTTCAATTCATGCATCCATCATTATGATTGCTAAACATTGCACGTGTGCATGTTTGATCTGGTGACGACAATG